TGTCTCTGAACTGCAACTTGCGGTTAGGAGACTCAGGTGATGATGTTCTCTCATTCTGGCATTTTTCATTTCCAAAACAGCTATCTACTTGGCACTAGCAACTTGGAATTCATTCCCGAATGGATTGGCGCCTCGACAAGGCAGAGGTAACTAGTGTGGTGCTAATAGCGAATCTAGTTTTCTTACTGACATACACGTCTTGCAGCTACCTTTCACTGCAGGAGTTGCAGCGTCCAATGGAGAGCAGATTTACAAACCGATCGTTATAAAAGACGCGCTTGTTCATTTCAGCTGCCACCGCAGACTCAACTTTGACTCGTTGCTTCCCGTGTTTATACCAGCAAAAGATCGAGTACCGCGTCAACATTCAAACTGAGGGTGTCATGGATACAACTGCTAACATGCAAACGTTTTTTTAATTGCAGGTTTTTGAGAATGTATTCCACTCAACCAAAGACGTTGATGACTTTATTGAGATGTTGCCGGTAAAGGAAATGTACGTTATGAATGTCGACCATTCCAAGGATCCATACAGCGGCTACTACAGACATCACTTTGTATGGATGGTACGCTGGCTGCAGCTGTGTATGGAGCTTTCAGAGGTACGAAAGACCAGTCTTAAATTCGTATATGTTATGATGGTACTAACACCTTTTCGTTACTACAACGTTTAGATAACTACCGAAATGATACGTGACCGACTGCAATATCTGAAAACATTTCTTGTCAAAAAAGCAGAGATGCTTGATGTCAAAATTGAAGTCGACATCCAGATGGCAGACGTTCGAAGCACCGAACAGAGAGCTCGAGCTTGGAATGAAGGTAAAATCTTGGAGAACGCATTCAGCAAAGTTAATAACTTATGGATTGCGATGAGCGAAATTGACATTCTCGCGGATCAGTTCGAATATATGGATATACGAGAGCCATGCACGTGCAGCAAGTGTGCCTACTATCGATCGCCATTGTGGGAGCAAGAGCAATCTGTCGGTTTGACATATGATGTGCTACCTCCAAGCGAACCCTACCATTGGCTAGAGAAATGGGATGAGAAAGAACGGTATTATTTGCATAAATACCTAAACTGAATGAGGCAAAGGCAACCTGTACGAGCTGTGGCTCGAATAATAATGAAAATAAACAATTTGGTTCATATACAGTGACATGAGGGCAGAGTATGATAGTCAAATTGTCGTATGATCGATCCAGAGCAGCACACAGGACAATAGTTTCAACACTCAAAACGATATTTACAATACCAGAGCGCGTGGTAACACAGCACCACACAGATCACCGCTCTACTCAGATTATTCCCACAACGCCGGTGCATTTCCACTTCGCCATACAGGGTACCTACTTGCTACTTGACTTCTGCAACTGAGGAATCAACGCTCAGCACTACGAATGTGAGGGCCTGCCTTCCAAAATCGGGTCGCACACTTGCCTCCTACAACGACTACCGACGTACGCCTCGGCGACCACATAGCGGTGCACGCATCGTGGAAGAGGCGATGATTTCGAACTGGGCGAAGAATACGAGTGTGGCGGCGATATCAGAGGAGCCGCCGCCACACTCGTATTCCTTGCCCAGTCCGGCCCCGAGATGGCGGTCATCGACAGGTTGATGATCGACACCAAGGGGGACGTCATGATGACGACAACGGCGCACCATGTGTGTTGCTGCGCCACCAGCAAACGCTTGTGTCTTGTAGCTGATGGTGCCTGCACCACGTGGCGTTGTTTACTGTCCTTGGCGTCTTTTTATGCGTTCACGATACTCTGCATAACGCATTTTTTTTGGAAATTAAACAGTGCCGAACGTGATTCCGACCAATCAGACCGTTCGAAAGATCATTGTACGAAAAATAGCAATAGCCAATTCCAACCAAAACGTACCTAAAAAGTTAACTGGAGATGTCATTGTAAAACCCAGAGCATAATACTACACAAATTGGCGAACGACATGCTGTGGTAGAGATCTAACTACTACCTCCAGGATCAAAGTTAGGATTACCTTTTTTGAGGATGTGGTCTTGAAGCGCATAGCCACATAACTACTGGCTTACATTTCCTCAGGTACGCTTTTCTACGTCAAAACGGACCCGACAAAGGAGCATACGCTGTCGGGTATAACTACTGCAAGGTAATTGGTCCTCATAGCAAAAATAGGTACTACCCATAATCGAAATAGGTAGCCATACGCGTATATTAAAGACCACTTTGCTAGCCAATCAGACTGCTAGAATCATCGGAATGCTATTTGATTGGTCAAACCGAGGACATCGGCGAAAACGTGACTTCAACATTGAAGCTCGCAATGTTTTGGCGCGAAACAAGCCGCTTTGGAGGGTCAACGATTCAAACTCGCGTGCGGGGGCGTCGAGCGCGCGCCAAGCCCCAACGAGTCTCATTCCGCAATTTCCTTTCTTGTGAACACTCGGGTTCATACCGACTGCCCCCACCCATCTCTGCTAACCCACCCACCGCCTGACACTGACCGATGTCACTACCATTGCACGCTGCCTGACACCACCGAAATCTCTGGTGGAAATGCTGTGCTGTCGTCACGCTGGTCCACACATAAGATGCTAACGCCGACAAGTCGCTGTCGCCACGCCGGTCCGCACGCTGTACGATGCTAACGCTACATGGGCGCCGAACGTCAGTCATACATGCTGCCCGTTTGGAGCGATACCGTTGCTACACTGGCCGCTGCATTCCCTAACCGATGTGAACACGAAGCGTCAGCGGCAACAACAATCATGCGCGGTAGCTACTACGACGGTTTGTACACGGTGTGGCTGGTGATTAGACTGCGAATTTCCGACTGATGTCCATTGTGTTGGACCTGCAGCGATTGCTACACACGCTGCTCGTCAAACGCCAATTCATCTTGTCGGCAGGCACGGAACAGTGCGAGAGGATGTAGCCTCTTTGCTACCAGCAGCCACTTGCACCTCGCCGATGGTCTGGGAGAAAATGCAGTTCACGATGACTCGCAACCGGCCATATGGACATTTGACGCAATAATATCTTCACGTTGAGAGCTACCGAAGCGTGGTTTGTCCTCAAGCTTGCAGTGTAGTGTGGGTAGTTTTGCTTACAAAAATCTGCACCAACCAAGTATCTATAAATCCACTTCTCATATTTTTCATATAATCAAATTGCTGTACCGATGCGACACCGGAACTAGTGACCAGCGGTCACGTGAGCCACGTGAGCCTAACGCGTAGTCCTCTTGCTTGCCTTTGATCGGAGGAAAGGTGCCTGCATTTTGTATATCGAAGAGCTTCGCATAGATGACCTTCGAGATTGTAGACCAGATTAGGCAGATAATATCCATGGTACTTCTGCCAGCATGACCATGACGCTTCTTGACAAAGATGTGGCTGGATGTATCAAGTGGGTAGGTGCTTTCGCACAAAGTAACGTTGTGCTTTTCGCAGTAATCTTCCGTTTGGGTTGGATTCCTGCATTTACTGCCATACGCAGTATATTCACACATTGCACGACGCTTCCATCGACTTTGATCTTGTTCTTCTTGATTTCACTGTGACATTAGCATCTTATGTCGTCGTCACATAGATTTAAATGGCGTAGCCTCTGAATGCGTTCCTGGCGTTCCAAGAGTGGGGGCCATGGCCAGCTCCGTCGTGGTGGTGTGGCCCGTCGATTGTTGTTATCGTGAGTCCCAGCTTGCTGTCGATGACGGTGGTGTTGACGGTCGTCATTTCCGGCGGGTCATGGACAAAAAGCACCTCGTTCGTCTGTTGCTGCCCCTCCGGAACCGACAACGCACTCGTATTCATCGCCTGGGTCGCAGTACTCGCCCTATCCGCGGGTGCACGTGCCACCGCTACGTGATCGTCGACCCGTATGTCGGTATCCTCAGTCAGTGTTTCCATCCATCGACGCCTCGGTCTCGGTTCCGTAATGAGGGCAGCCTCGGGGAATCTTTACCCTATCTTTTAGATGTTAGACGCCAACAACTGATTTTCTTTGCTGAAATCACTATAGAGCGCTTCCGCTAGTATGTATCCCTCCCCCCTCGTCGAGGGCTTCGAGTGCATTCTTCGGTGTGCCACACAACACCGTAACGTAAGAGACACAATAAAATTTGAGGTGAAATTTAGACTACGCTTGCGTTCTAAGTGGTAGATATTGGTGCTTGCGATAGTTGGGTTGCCACCGTCTCAGAGAATTTCATATATCAAAATACGGTGTAATACGTTATTTAATACAATAAACGATTAGTCTATTTGACAAAACCAGGACGGATAATTTAAGAGACCCACCCACTTTTGCTAAATCATACTCTATGCATTTTTATGGAAACGAAAGGGTTAATGCGCTGGTATGGGCGGAAGCTTCAAAATTGGGCGTCAATTAAGCCAGTTCAAATTCCGTCAATCAGGAATCGCACCATGCACTGTTTCCGCCAATCCCATCTCACTAAGAGCAGCAATCGCCCAAAATAGCTTTAAAACCTTGCTTTTGAAAGCTGATCTCAGCCGAGGTTTTTCCGTATTTTGTCGAATGGGGCCAGGGCGCCGCGCTTCTCCACTCATTATTGGATTTAAATCCGCACGGCGCCCAACGAGAGGAAGAAATCCCCCTTCCTGCAACCCGAGCCAAGCAGCTTCACTTCCGCTACACCGGAACGCGATGACACCACCCTCTGACGACGGCAAGCCGGCGGCTGAAGGCACACCAAAGAGCGGCAGTGACCTGGCTCAACAGCAGCAGGCTCTCCTCCAGCAGCAGCTCCAACAGCAACAACTGCAGCTCCTCCAGCTCCAGCAGCAGCAGCTCCAGAACCTGGCCAACCAAAATATGAGCCCCACCGAACTCGCGGCGCTGCAACAACAACAGCTCGCGCTATTCATGATGCCCATGTTTCCACTAATGATGCCGCTCCAGCAACAGGCGCTGGCCGCGGCCGCGGCGACGACTGACGGTTCAAATCCAGCCATCTCGACGTCCGAAGAGGCCGTTAGTGCATCTACTGAGACTGCAGAGGAGGATGCAGCCGAGTCTGTGGCTACTGTGTCTGGGGGCGACGCCTCGCCAACGTATCAGACTGCGACTGCCGAGTCGCTGGGACTCACGCCGCCCCTTTGTGGGCACCGACGGATTTGGATTGCTTGCAGGGACGCCCAGTATGGAGGAGATGCCTAAGCGCAAACGCGGCCGACCACCTAAGAAGGACGTGGCGGCACGAGCCAAGGCTGAGATGGAAAAGACTCTGAAGCAGCAGTTCCCTATGTGGGGATACGGTCTGCCAATGCCATTACTACCAGGTTTCCCAGGTATGTTGCCTGGCATGTCAAACCCGGGTGCTGTTGTCAAAGATCACTCTGCGGATGATGCGTTAAAAGACGAAGACGGGGATGGTGAACGTCCTTCTAAGATGGCGAAGAAGAAGCCGCGGGGAACAGGCAAACCTCGAGGCAGACCACGCACGCGTCCTCGTCCCGGTGAGATTATTCGTCGAGTAAAGCCCCCCCCTATTGCGCCCGCAAACTATTCGGTTATGTACAACTATTCTCTCTCCAACTTGGCACAAAAGAGTGCGGAGCTTAATGCCGATGGAACCTCAGCGGATACGGACACTACGACGATCACGGACGAAGCACAAGATGAGAACCGACTGGCGCCTCTGAGCGCGTCACTGCTGTCTGGAGAGCATGAGTAAGAAGATCCAACAGTTTTTAACTTCATCTGATAATTCGCAGTCGATAATACCGGTAGCGACTGCATTAATACTGTTTTCGTGCTACACAAATCAGTACAACACGGAGTGTTGGTATGTGTATTCTAAAAATATGGTAAAAAATACTATTTTTACCTCTATATGAGGCAGTTTGAGCGCCGAGTGAGCAAGCGGATAAATAAATAACGAAGCTCGTGGCAC